GCTTTGGCAAAGAGTCTTTCTGAGGAATCTTTATCCACACGCACCTTATCTTGCTTGGAGAGCTGCCAGATAACTAGTTTCCAAGCACAGGGCAAAGCAAAACTTGACACAGTCTCTTATAATCACAAAAAGAACTTTCCAGACTGAATGAAAGAATTGTTTCCTGCAAAAGCCCCCTCCCCATTCACTCCTCTTTTGTTTCCTGTGGGAGGGGCCAATCACCTCCAAGGTGTGGCTTTACTCCCAAGTCGACCCTGCTTTCTTGGCTGTTCTTGTCTTCTGGCAGCTCTGCGCATTCGCACACTGGGAACAGGCTCCAGCTGTTCCTCTGCCTCACTGCTGTATAGCTCCCTCTCTGTCTCCAATGCAGAGCCCTCGTCTGAGGTTTCCTCAGCCCCCAGGACTGGCCCATTTTCCTTTCCAACCTTCTCACTGTCCGATTGCTGCCAGCTCTGCTGGCCCACTGCCAGCGAGCCACAACAGACCGTTCCTAGTTTTCCACAGACTAAAAGAAAGGAGAAGAGAAAGGCTTCCAATTTTGCAAGATTCTGTTATGGTTACAAGAAAGACAGAGCCACGTTTAACATTTTAAGTGCAAGATAGGAGGAGTGCTTTCACAAAAATGGCTCCCACGGTAGGGATTGCCAATCACAGAACATGAAACCTGTCTTGACCCCTTTTGCTTCCCAGAATAGCCACTTTGTTTGAGTGTGTTAGGCATTTGTGTGCCTATGTGTCTTTCTGGAGGGAGAGTCACATTTCCCAGGAAAATGTCGAGACTATAACCTCTTGATATTTCCTGAGCATGTTTTGGAGGTCAGGCAGACCCTAAAGCATTCTTAGAAATAAAACTGAGGCATTTAGGTTGAGGTTGTGTGTTTGCTATTTATTTTAAACAAAGCAGTGGACTATAAAAAGAAAAATCAGGAAGGACAAAGTACTGTGGGGCTGGGGAGGGCTTCCATATCAGTTTCCCCACAAAAAGATTTGGATTGGCAAGGAGGTTTTATGTCTGCAAGAAAGATTTGTGTCTGCAAGAAGGATTTGTGCTCGCAAGCATCACTCTGGGGACATGGAGCACAAGACACAGCCAGTGACAATGAAAAAGCATTACTGTCCCTGCTGTGACATCAGTGAGTTGTCTGCGGTCCTGGCCAGCCATCTATCATCCTGGCCAAGAGATCTGGGCTAGCAAATGCAGGCAGACAGCATTTGCTCAGACTCAGACACCCAAGCTCAGACTCTGTTTTCAGCCAGAAAAGGCTGCAAGCAACAAATCAATCAGCTGAGCAAAGAAAGAAAGAAAAAGGGGGAACAGAAGAGAAGCAACTAAAAAGTAACTTAAAACCAAAGAGAACAAATGCAGCAAGTTAAAAATAACTTCACCGTTTAGCAAGCTAAATCACAGAAGTATTCTTGCTAGGGCATTTTATACCCTCATGCAACCCTAAATGTCATACAGAATAAGAGTTCTGGGGGAATTTGGAGGTCTTCTAGTCCAACCCCCTATTCAAGCAGTCTCTATGCCGTTCCAAGCAGATGCCTGTCCAATCTCTTCTTAAAAACCTCCAGTGATGGATCTGCCACAACATCTGAAGGCAACTTCTGTTCCACCTGTTAATTGTCCTCACTGTCAAGAAATTTCTCCTTGGTTCTAGGATGGATCTTGGTAAGTTTCCACTTGTTAATACTTCTCCTGCTCTCAGGTGTTTTGGAAAGTAGATCAACTCCAGTGGTGGGTTCCGGATCCTGTCGCAACTGGTACGCTGCAACAGGGCCGGGCGTCCTCGTTAGGCACGTGCACTGCGCACGCATGTGCACGCCATTGCGTTGTGACACCCAGCTGTTCGGCGGAGGTCGCACAAGCGCAATTTGCCCATTTACATAAAAAAGCGGTAAGGAACGCGGGTCGGCGGGTGGGCCAAACGAGCCACCGTTCCGGTCCGGTGGCTGCTGCTACCATCTACCACTGGTACACCCATACCGGGCCTTACCGCCCAGAACCCACCATTGGTCAACTCCCTCTGACAGCCCCTCAAATATTGGAAAACTGGTATCATTACACCCTCTAGTTGTTCTTTTTATAGATAGATAGATAGATAGATAGATAGATAGATAGATAGATAGATAGATAGATAGATAGATAGATAGATAGATAGATAGATAATGGATGCATGGATAAATGATGGGTGGCTGGCTGGCTGGCTGGCTGGATATATAGATAGATGATAGATAATGGATGCATAGATAAATAATGTGTGGATGGATGGATGGATGGATGGATGGATGGATGGATGGATGGATGGATGGATGGATAGTGGATGCATAGATAACTAATGAGTGGATGGTTGGATGGTTGGATGGATAGATAGATGGATAGATNGGAGGCTGAACCCTGCCCAGGGTCCTCCACATTGTCCAGAGCCGACTCATAAGGTCCCTCGCTATCGGAGTCTGTCAGCAGCTCCAATGGCTCCTGCTGGGTCACAACACAATTCCATATTATTGCATTCATATACACCATTACAAAACCAGGTTTCTCGTTCTATTCCTGTGAGCTTAATTTCTTTTTTCCAAAATGAAAAATTTGTCCCAAAATTTTCAGAATGTTCTTAGAAACAGAAATTACAGAATAACAGAATAATAGGTTTGGATGGGACCTTGGGAAGGAGGGGTGCCTTCTAGTGCAACCCCCTACTCAAGTAGGAAACCCTATACCAAAATTAGGGTGTGTCATTTAATGGGATGAAAATTAAAATTTTGCAATTTTTTTCCAGTGAGGATTCTAAAAATGTATGTTTAAATATGCTGCTATTTTTACAATTGTATAACGATTAGCTTGGTAAATCTATGTCTGATTGCATACCCCACAAAAGTCTCTTGGGATCCAATACTGTTAATTTTATCTTCTCAAAATTACATCTTTACACTTTAAAAATTAAATTTTTTTCTGCATGAATCTTATCTAGCTAAGCAAAAACTAAACCATGCAATCATAAACTAACATCAGAAAGCAATTACCTAAGTTAGAAAAATGTTTAAGTGAGTTCCATCAAGTCTCAATACTATTTCAGACAGATGGTTGTCCAATCTCTTCTTAAAAACTTCCAGTGTTGGAGCACCCAAAACTTCTGGAGGCAAGTTGATTAATTGTTCTTAAAATTAAATTAATTTAACTGTATTAATTTTTAATAAAATTGCATTAATTTCATTCTCTTTTTTCTGTTCAATCTTTAACCTTATCAAGATGGTTCTGAATTTTGTTCTTGTTTCTAGAGCATTAACTATTCCATTCAGTTTTGTATCATCTTCAAATCTGATGAACATTATTTTCATTTCCTCATTCATGTCTTTAATGAAGGCCCAGAACTGAACCTGGAATTCCACTTGATTGCTTACTGTAGTTTGATGGGGAATTACTGATAAAAATTATGATGGTGACATGTATAAATATTTGAGTTAAAATGCTTGAGTTAATATGAATTATATTTGTTGACTGTGGAAGAGATGCACAAAAATCTTTTTGTAACCAACTGATACACTTTCTACAGCATGTAAAGAAGGATATTGTGTTTGTTTTAAATTAAAAAAATATATTTAAAAAAATTGTCCCAATATGTGTTTCAAGCTATCTGTGGGGAATATATATTTTATTCAGTTCACACTTGCATAATTTATGAATCAGATTGTCATATGATACTGGGTCAAATGCTTTGAGGAAGTCAGGATGTATTATATTCATAGCATACCCACAATCAGTTGAAGTTAATTAAAAATGAAATAATGTTTGCCTGATAGGACATGTTTTTAAACAAGCCCCTGTAATCATTTATAGTTCAGTTGTTATGGAAGTGATTGTTCCATGGTTTCTTGAGTATTCCTTTTTTAAAAAAACACAGAAACATCATTTCCCTTCTCCCAGTTATCTGGCACTTCATCCATGCTCCAGGATTTCTCAAAGCTAAAAGTTCAATCAGACAATTAGCAAAATTCTTCAGCAATCCAACTCTTTATTGAGATTTTAAGACATCCTTACGCTTGAGTCGCACTTCTGCCTCTCTAACCAGCATTTCACAATTGCACAATAGAAATGTCTATCCTTTCTTTTTTAACCTAAGACTGGATTAAAATAGGATTTCAATGCCTCTGCCTATTTTTTATTATCTGTAATTCTTTTAATACCTTGCACAGCAGTACCATACATTCTTTTTAAAAATTATTTTGAACTTATCAAAAAAAGCTCTCTATAATCCCTTGTCAATTTTGAAGAACCGATTCTGAGCTGTGGTCTTCCTGGAGAATATCTAAACACCAAGGTTATCTATATATACAAGTCATTCTCAACGTTCGGCCACAATTGAGCCCAAAATTTCGGCTGCCAAGCGAGACAGTTCTTTGGTGAGTTTTGCCCCATTCTACTACAGTTGTTAAATGAATCGCTACACTTGTTAAGACTGTAACACAGTTGTTAAGTAAACCTGGCTTCCCCAATTGAGTTTGCTTTTCAGAAGGTCGCATGATCCCAGGACATTGCAACTGTCATAAATATGAGTTGGTTGCCAAGCATTCGCATTTTGATCATTGGACCATAGGGGTGCTGCAACAGTCGTAAGTGTGAAAAACGGTCATAAGCAGAGGTGCGATCCTACTGGTTTAACAACCAGTTCATTGCGCATGCATGCACAGTTCTCAGGAAAACAGCTGAGGTGCAGCAATCCATTCTGCTGTGCCTATCAGCTGGGCTAAAAAACAAGGACATATAGGTGAGTATAGCCCAGGGTTGGGTGGCCACCTGAAGGTCGGAGCAAATCAGTTTGCTCTCAGCTGATCTTCAGAGTTACCAGTTTGCCCAAACCGAGCTGAACCGGTAGAATCCCACCTCTGGCATAAGTCACTTTTTTCAGTGCTGTTGTAACTTTGAACAAACTGTTATAAGTTGAGGACTACCTGTACTTTCCAGCCTTTTAGCTCTCCTCCTTTATGTGTCATTTAAAAAAAAATAGTGTTAAGCTTTTCTATAGGGCTCTAGGGAGGAACTGTCTTGAACCTTTCCTCCCAACCAAACAACATAAACTTTGCTGGAAAGCAGTCCTGGGAATCTACAAATATTAATCTCTGCAAGTATCATAGACCAGGGCTGTCCAATCGTGGCAGGTTTAAGACTTGTGGACTTCAATACCCAGAATTTCTCAGCCAGCAAGTTGTCAAAGTTGGACATCCTATCATAGACCATAGAGCCGTGTTTCTCAACCTTGGCGACTTTCAGTCCTTTGGACTTCAACTCCCAGAGAATTCTGGGAGTTGAAGTCCACAGGACTGAAAGTTGCCAAGGTTGGGAAACACTGCCATAGAGGTTCTTAAACTAGAAAAAGATCTGTGTTCTTTACAAAATGGCTGAAACTTTTTATTTGTTTTTTAACTTAGTTGTTTTACAATAGCTACACTATAGGTATCGTTTACCTCTTTAGCCTGCTTTTCTTTATAGAAGCCCCATTTGCCACCTAAATCTGCCTTCTGTTTCAGGTTCAATCAAATCAGAATAGAGCTGGAAGGGATCTTGGAGGTCTTCTACTCTATCCCCCTGCTCAAGCAGGAGACCCTAAAGCCATGATGACGAACCTATGGCACGCATGCCACAGGTGGCACGCAGAGCCCTCTCTGCAGCACACAAGTTGTCGCCCCAGCTCAGTTCCACCGTGCATGTGCACACATCTCCCAGCTGGTTTTTGGGTCTCTGTCATGCATGCACGGGGGGCGGAGTGCATGCAGAGGGTCACATGCGCATGCGTAGGGGTGGGGGGAGCGGGGGACATGTGAACATGTGGGGGGCATGCACATACACAGCCACGGGGCACACACAGGGGGAGGGGCTCATGTGTGCATGCATGGGAGGGCGGGTTATGCGGGGGGTGTCACACATGCATTGCATTATGGGTGCCTGCATGCCCTTTTGGCACACGGCAACAAAAAGGTTAGCCATCACTGCCTCATTGTCTTCACTGTTAGGAAGTTTCTCCTGAATTCCAGGTTGTTTCTCTCCTTGATTAGTTTCCATCCATTGTTTCTTGTCCTGCTTTCTGGTGCTCTGGAAAATAATTTGACACCCTCTTCTTTGTGGCAGTACCATTGGAATGCTGCTCTCAGATATATATTTCCTGTTCTTTCTTGCTGTAAAAGATCATATCTTCCTCTATTTTCTGACTGGCATCGTAGATGACTTCAACAATACCCTGAGTCTGACTTTTTGCCTTTCAAATTGTTTTCACCTTTTCCACCTGAATTCCCAGTTGGAGACATTAACTAGGAGGATCTTGAACTAGACAGCATAAACTTATAGAACAGAAAGAAACCACTGCAATTCATTTGGCCCAGGAATGGGCAATCTTTTTTCAGGCATGATAGATGGTTTGCACTAATCATTTCATGAAAGCCAAAAGCTGCAGTTGGCATGAGACTACAATTTTATTTTACCCTTCTCCTCTTCCCTTTCCCCTCCCCCCTCCCCCAGTAATTTTAGGAGAGAACAGTTTCAGATACACATAGTCCTCAACTTACAATAGTTCATCTAATGAACATTTAATCTCTGTCTCTCTCTCTCTCTGTCTCTGTCTCTCTGTCTCTGTCTCTCTCTCTGTCTCTGTCTCTCTCTCTCTCTGTCTCTCTCTCTCTCTCTCTCTCTCACACACACACACACACACACACACTCATACACACACACAGCAGGTTAACAAGTCTCTCTGGCAGGTAGATGAATAGTTGTCTGCCACAACTATTCATCTCCACCCCCTGCCTTTTATCCCCAGAGCTAGGGTGAGGCTTCGCTANGAACTTCTTCTAACCGGTTCGGTAGATTTGATGAACCGGTTCTACCGAATAGGTGCAAACTGGTAGGAACCCATCTCTGCTCTGCCCTAAGTCCTTGGGATATAACCAATTTCATTGTATTTCAGTACAACGACAATAAAGATTATACTTATAAGAGGGAGGGAATGGAAAACATTTTTCTAAGGTCAACAGTTTTGGCCCACTGCATGCTTCAAGCTGCAATTCTGAGTATATCTCTCAGTAAACTCTCTACCACATACAGGATTTAATATAAAAATAATAATTACATCATGGTGTCTTCATTGTAAGTCTCCAAATTCCTAGCAGAAACCTACACTGAAGTTAATAGATGTTTATTAACTTATTTTTTTTAAAGTCCACAGTTTCATCTGGATCTGGCTATGGCATTATGAAGTGTCTCTTTTCTTCCTTTATCTAGAGTATTACACATTAGTCACAATCCCTGCTGGAGCAAGAAGCATTAATGTGTATGAGATGAATGTATCCAACTCCTATATTGCCGTTCGCACTTCCAGTAAAAAGTACCACCTCAATGGTTATTGGACTGTTGACTGGCCTGGGAAATACAAATTTGCTGGCACTCTGTTTGTCTATCAAAGACCATATAACCACCCAGAGATATTAAGTGCTTCTGGACCTACAAATGAGAGCATTACAATACAGGTGAGTGATATTGTCATGGAATGTTGTTCAGTGTATAAAAGTAATTAGAATTCCTAAAAGACTCATATTATTTTACTATGTCAACTGAGAAGTCCAATACATGGATAATGCAGGTTAACAAAACCTCATCTCTGTTTATAGCCTCTCCATGGTGATTCACCCTGGAACTGTCATAATACAATGCTGGAAAATAACATGTTGAAGAGGGAGCATAATTTTATTGGACTTCATAGCTCTGTTCCTCCTTCCTGAAATGAGGATCTACTGCAGTTTAACCTATACTCTAGCAAGTCATGGATATTTATAACTGACATTATGGCTTTGTCTCTGAATTTGCAGGGTAATCAAAATACAAGCTTCAGCAATTCCTAATGTTCTTTTATAAGTATCACATAGACTTTATACACATCTAGAGAAAAACTTAACTGCTTTCCTCCTTTCCTGCTGCTGCTAGGAGAGGAGACAATGAAGTCTCAAAGAATAGAAATGGAATCTGATCATTTTGTACAGCTTTACATATTATTAGAGTGCAATTAATGAATAATAATCTTGGAATAATCTAAATTGTCCCCTATTATGGGAATTCATTTTTAATTTCAAGTAGTCATATAGAGTTCATTTACAGTATGTGTTTGATATGAAAAGACTGAGGATATCTATGGACAAAATCTCAAAACAAACAAGAGGCAAATTAAAAGTGGAGCATTCAAGAAGGAAGGAAGGAAGGAAGGAAGGAAGGAAGGAAGGAAGGAAGGAAGGAAG